TCTCTGATGCATGAGATACCGGCAGTCTAGTCCATGGCCCAGCGGTCCCAAAGGGGCCCAAGGCCTGTTTGCAATAAAAACCAACCCCGTGTAAAGATTTGTAGCCAATTTTCCCTTGCTGAAGGCTGGCAAGTATTTTTGCAGCTGAGGTCGAAGCCCTCGGGAGACTCTGCTGGGTCTAGGTATTTAAGAACTCATTCCACCAGACTGCAGAACTGCTCCCCACGACTGGCTGAGGGGGCCTGGAAGTAACCTCCTCCGGGAAGGAGCCGCTAATGCCAGGCTGGCTGACCACCCTGGGTGTCTGCTCTCTGCCCCACCTGCTGGGAGCAGGGGTCTTTTTGCAGAGCTACCTGGAAGTTGGGGGAGGGGATGAGCTGCTGACTTTTTTGGCTCTCACTAGCTCTTCCTTGTCTTCTAGCTGGGGAGGGAGGGTCGGTAGGGGAGGGGGCGGGGGTGGGTGACAGCTGGCTTCCGGGTCTCCATCTGATTTTCCTGCCACACTCTTGGCTGGCAGGACAGAAATGCCAGTCGCAGAGATACCACTCAGCACATGCCCCTGGTCCTTGCTGTTTCAATTCCAAGGAACACCTTGACAAAGTTCAACCGTGACGTTTTCTTAGGTGGCGGAGAAACACACCGGGCCCTGGTCCAAATCTCCACTCTCCTCTGTGGCCCCGTGGTGCTGGCTCAGGCACCAGTGACCCCATTTTCCATGTTGGGAGCCCCAGGCTACAGCTGACAAGGCTCTCAAGGGGGCAGCTGAGGGTTCAACTGAGTTCCCAGACAAAGGTGTCCAGGGCGGCTAATGCCAGGATCACCTGGAGTTGCCACTTCTAATTCAAGTGCCATCACTCCATGAAACTGTACACAAGGAGCAGGGGACTTTCTCCAGCTTCTCCTCCCGAGGCTGGAGTTCTCACTGGATGACTTTGGCCACCATCCCAAAAGGGACAATGTAATTACTGCTGTTGAGTCTTGGCTAAAGGCCCTTTGCTTCCTTTCGCCCCCTCCCATGCGTCCCCCTTGTCCCCCATGTCCGAGTCAGCTCCTGGTGAGGCCCTCCTCACTCTGGTAGACCCAGAAGTAATGAGCATGCCTAAGAGAGGCTGGGGGAGGTCAAGCCTTGCAGCTCTGGCCACCCTCACACACTCCTCTGCCAATCGCTAAGTCAGGAAGATGGCAGAGACCGCAGGCTGGTCGGCACTGGGTGGTAGGAAGTGATCTTTAGTTTGAGAAGCCTCCTCCTCCCCCATTCCATCAGTAATGCCTGGGACCTCCCACTCGAGCACCTGAAGAAGAGAAGGCAGGGGATGCAAAGGCAACCGACAAGGGTGGGCCAGCTGTTTCCTACTGTGGCTTTCATGTTTGCTTTTTTTATCCTCACCAGAGGATATGTTTTCATTCTTTTAGAGAGAGAGGGAGTGGAGAAAGGAGAGAAACATTGATGTGGGTTGCCTCCCGTATGTGCCTGGCCCAGGAATTGGTGCCTGGGCTGGGGATTGAACCCACCACCTAGACATGTGCCCTGACCAGGAATCAAACTGACAACCTTTCAGTTACAGGATGATACTCCAACCAACTGAGCCACACTTGAAAGAGTTTTGGCTTTCATGTTTTATAGCCACCAGGAAAGGAAGCTTCTCGGTAGACAAGGCCAGGAGAGACAGGCTCCCTTCAACTGTCTAGAGGCCATGTGTGGGGCCCCCTTTGAGAAGCTGCTGTGTGTTACAGCTCTTCCCAAGATTGGGGTTCCTCAGGCCAGGGCCACCTGGTAGAGTGGTGTGAGTCACTCATCGTACAAGTGCAGCTGAGGGTCAAGTAGTGTCTGAAATCCAGCCTGTGCTCTGCTCAGCTAGCTGTGCATCCATAGGGCTGGGCCCATCAGGAGTCCTGTTTTCTGTCTTTGATCAAGGTGAAATTCGGGCTAGTCGTGCCATGTCATGACTTTCAGTTATGTTTGGTTCTGGACCTGGGCCTTCTCCGTCAAATAGGCAGTGCTTATGAACAGCCTCGGTGTCTCCACTCTGCTAAACTCCACGGTGCCTGGCACGGCACATCACCAGACAGTCGCTTTGTGTGTTCAGGTTCTGGGTGGCTCTGAGGAAACTTCTGCTGGATGGAGCAGCGCACACAGCACTGCCTCTTTGGAGTACTGTGAGGCCCCTTCTGCACCCAAATGAGCATGGCCCTAGCACCTCCATGAACTGCATTAAATACCTCTCCAGGGTCTCATGTAAAATGGGGCATCTGTCACCTTCATCAGGTAATCCCTCCATTCATGATACACCTGAGACTTGGAAAGAACAATCTGCTTTCTGCAAATGTTCCTCCTTTACCAAGAAAAGAAAGGACATTGGCGTGGAGAAATTCTGGATTCAGATTCAGGCTCAATAAGAAGCGAGCTGACTGAGCTAACCAGCCACCCAGGTCAACATTTCTTGCCACCAATTAGTCCTAAATAGCAGCTGGTCTCGTGTCCTTGATCCATGAGCTGCCCAGCTTTGCTCCTTCATGCTTCCATTATTAGCCCCATGACTAGATGGTCTTTTTACACATCTTTCCCAGCACCATGAGAATGCTATTGAACTAACCTTTCATGGAGTTTGATAGTTCACAGTATGTAGCAGATGAAATATTCGTGTAGAACTTCTTTGATAGAAATCAAGCACTTTAATGTATATTATATCTAGAAAATGGCTATCAAATTGCAAAGCCTATTGGTTGGTTCGTTAATTCCGTTTGATTAGAACTCTGGGCTGTTAAGACCAGGTTCTTGGGACCCAGCCTCAAATACCCCAAGAACTGCCATTCTCTATGGCCATGGGCTGTTGCCTTGAACTCAGCCACCTGTTGTGGGGATGAGGTGTCATCCCAAGAGCACAAGGAGCAAAATGGATCAGTGCAAATCCATCTCCATTTCCACCACTGGGACTAAAACAGCAGACTGTACTGCCCACTAGAATCTTCATAAAAGAAGAGCAGGAAATTTAGGGTATTTTTTTTGAAGCTCGAGCCTTTTATCATATAGATGCTAAACATTTTGGGAGCTTGTGAGATTCTTCTCCTTCAGCTGGCCCTGAAAACACCTCTGTAAATTCTCCCAGGTGCACACTTCAGATGCTGGGAAGGTATTTGGTGCTTTCTCATTCCAAATGCTTTGTTAACAGACCTTGGAGAAGCACCGAACCGATGCCACTTCTGGGATGAAGGGACATCCATAAATGCTCTTCACAGAGCTCCATCAAGGTCATTCCTGCCATTCCTGACTCCTCATGAGAAGCAGCCTGGAGGTGTTTGCACGTCTCATCTGAGTACCTGTCTTCCTCTCTCACACCCTTCGGGGGTCTGCTTTCCCAGTTGGCACTAACAGTCCACGTTGCCCCACAGCACACTCTGAGCTTGTCAGTAAAATCCCTAAACATCCTCCACCCACACATTTAGGCTTCAAAAGAGACAGAGAGGAGTGGATTCCGACCACTCTCTATCAGCCCAGTGGGAGTTCAGGGACTTTCCTTTGACAACCTGTGGCATCCATCTTCTTGGGGTGTGAAGTCACATGGCCATGGCATACCGGCCATGCAGACAGATAGCGGACCCGCAGGCCAAGCATTCTGCCAAGTTCTGACTTCTCAGGAGGAAAGACGGTAGAGAGAGGAGACCACACAAGAGAAAAGATGAGCACCCTTGTTTTAACTGCTACCCTCTAGGGCCACTATGATGTTTACATCTAGCAAATTCAAAATAATGTTTAAATTCAGTTAAAATGCATGTAGCTATGGTAAGTAAACAACTAGGTTGCTTTTAACCTGGAATTCTTAGATTTTATATTAAAATAAATGAAGATACTAATCACACAGTAGTTAGGTTTTACAAGGGCTTTCTTCTTCAATGGGTGGTGGGCCGTGGGGCTGAGGGTGGGGTGGGGCAGGAAGGCAAGCTGGCATCGGTGGGTTTCTACCTTTGAGAAGAGAAGTGTGGCCAGTTCCCTTTGTGGGCTCCCTGCTCCTGGCTGCCACATTGACTCCCTCCGGTTTAACATTCATAGTGCAGGCTGTGGGCCTGAACTCAGCAGCTTGTTTTTGACAAGTCAGTGAAGGAGCGGGATTGAATACTTCCTGTGCACAAAGCCCGAGATGGCGTGGAAAGGGGGGACGGGCCTGTGCTGTTCTACAGGCCCCAGCACAGAACCTCTGCCGTGCACCGTGGGGAAGACCTACTCCTATTCATTCCACACTCTCACCTGTCACTGTGGGGTTGCCTATGTGCCACTGCGCCGGTCTCTACTCCGTCTAAACCAACTGTGCACGGGGTCAGGCCACTTCCCTACAGGGACCGTGAACCTGTGGCCTACTGTAACTTCCTCAAGGCCTAGCTCCTGGGAGCACAGGAACAGCGCAGGGATTCACTTCTCACTCCACCCAGGGCTACCTGTCCTCCTCTCCCTGTCACACTATGCAAATGAGGCTGACGAGGGCTGTGACTCATGCAGAGGCCACTAACACACTCCAGCTAGATCACATCGCCAAAACCCATGCAGCATGGCCGCCTCCTGCACACACAAAAGCCGCCTACACAGCAGCATCAGCTTGCGACCCGCTCCCATGTGACTGCCAGAGTTCACAGAAGGAAATTTGGAATACATTTTTTAGATGCGCTATGGTTCTGAGCCAATTTATTTCACGAGACAGTTCAGTGGCCTTCTCCCTGGGCCACTGCAGAAGATGCACAGACTGCGCAGCCCCCGGACTCAGACCTGAAGGTCAAACTGAAAGCCTGAGGCTGGGCAGTCGTGTGTGCACCTTCTGCAGAGGGAGCTGCCTGGTCTTTTGCAAATCCATCCCTAGAAGTGAAGCTGCAGACACTTGCAAAAAAAAAGGGATACGTTGAGGGGGGAAGCACTGGACTCCCTCCCACCCCGAAGGAAATGACAACAAAGGAGAGCTGAGAAAACGAGAAAAACAAAAGAAATGAGAGGGAACAAAACCAGCTGAACTTACCACACTGCGAGTGAACTTTTCTAAGGAAGTTCTACGACCTTGCTCACTTTCTGGCTTTAGGAAAAACAAACAAAAAAGAGGTAGGGAGAAAAATACAGAAAAAAAAAATCTTCAGCTTACACATGGTTTCCAAACAGCACAGTGGCAGCTAATGAACAAAGAAGCAAAATGGGGTGCAAAAACCGGGAAAAGAGAAGCAGCCAGCGCTGTATGCAAGGGTCAGGGGGAGAGACAGGAAAAAAAGCACAGGAAACGGTGCTTCCTCCTCAGAGCAGTGAGGAGAGGGGTGTGTGCTTCTGGGGGTTGGGAGGGCATTCGTTTTCCTCAGGGATCATGGTAGGAGCCGTAATAGCTTCACACAGCCCGGTCAGCACTCTGAGCTGCCTGCTCCCGGCTTCCTGTAGGCACTGCCTGTGGGCAGGGGCCCCTGGTGGCTGTGCATGGGGAGACCTCTGGTCCCTGAGACCACAGGCAGGGGACATAGAGCAGATTAACTCTCAGGACCTGCAGGTGTGTGGGGGAATTCAAGAAGTGGCTGAAGGTTATAACTATGTCAGATTTTTCTACCCAAATGCTGCTAGAAAGTTTACTAATTTCCATAACTTGCTAATGGCCCCCTAATGGCTCTCATTCTGCCTCCTTAGAGTAAAGAAAGTCTACCCATGTTTTTTTTCAAAGGGTCTTGGGCTTCAGAAAGAATGTTCTGGAAAGAAAATGCTCTCTCAGTACCCAGGCAGGTGACCCCTTCCAAGGTTTACTCGGGGCAGACTGCAGGAGGTTTAGGAACCTTCCTGGGAAGTGGCAAGAGGAGGGAGTGCCCTTGGACACTCCCCAGGGTCAGCTGCTCACTACTACCACAGGATGAGAGGGTGTGATGTGCAACTGACCCTCTTCCCAAATTTCCTTCTTCTTCGAGGACCTTGGGGGGAAAATTACATCCCCAATACCTGCTCTTTTATCCTAGAGCCCTGTCCCAGGGCTCTGAGCCTAAGGCTGGGAAATTTGGAGAGAATATACATTCACCATGGATACACACACACACACACACACACACACACACACACACACACAAACAGGGCAAATAATGGAAAATAGGGAGCTAAAGAAGCAGCCAGGTGTCTGTGGGTAGGCAGGATGTTCTGGGAGCAGAGGGGGCAGGCAAAGGGTGGCCACCTGTCCATGGACAGATCAGAGGGAGCCCTCGGCAGTCATGCCCCTCCCCCTCAGCTGGCTGCCCGAAGACAGGACATTGCAGAAGGAAACACAACATAAACTACCCGGCCCTGCAGAGCCAGGATTGTCTCTCTCATTGCACAAGGGACCAAAGGACCCACGCCGGGCCCTGAGAACCACACCAAGTCTCCACTCTGGGGATGGCAGAACTCAGCTTCAACACCGCAGGCAGCCCGGGGGGCATGTGCTTGGCTCGAGGCAGGCTGGTGCCGGGCCCTGCATCTAGCAGTCCGTGCCTACCATTCTTGTGCTCTGGCTACCGACTTACAGCTCACAGAGGGGAGCCATCAGCACTGACTCAATCAAGTTTCTCTGTCTTGCACAGCCCCTCTGAGCTGCCCTGGATAATCACTGTCAATGGTACTGCATTGTCCTGGAGGAGCCGTCAAGACTCAGCTCACTTGCCCCTTGGGAACGTGGCACATCAAAGTGACTAACCTTTTTGTTGGAGATACTAGCACAGAAGGTGAGTCAGGGATGAGGATCAGAAGGCAGTGTCCCCAGACCCATCAGGGGCCTTGCTCAGCAGAAAAACGAGGCCCATTCTTATCCCCTCTCTCAGCAGGAGGTTGTGACTCGCACATACCTCTTATGACCTGGATATTCGTATCACATGGTAAGCCCGTCCCTGAAGTCAGAAGATGCTCCAGGCCTACCTGAAAGTGCTGAGTTACAAATCCAGTCCACACCTGGAGGCTCTCAAAGAGAGAAATGGGGGGAAAGGAGGTTTTGCCGCTGGTTTTGGAAACAACTGCTGGCTTTCTGTCACGAGAACATCCCTTAATTTGGGGGCTGGGAGGCTAATTCTAATGAATTTCGTTTGTAACATTTCGCAGGGAGACCATGAGTTCCTTCCTTGTTCACGTGACCTCTGATGGCCCCCCTGGAACCTGTGAAGATTTCTATCCTCTTAAGGGAGGACCTGGGGGTGCGGTGTGTCAGCCCCTCCCCCTGAGCTGGGCCGCCTTTTCTCTTGGTGCTCAAACCCACAGGGAGACCCCATGGCCTCTGGCTTCTTCTGGGTGTGTAGACAGGCCCAGGTTGGTCAGACAGCTAGAGCCTCCAAACTTCCCCAAATTGGGATCAGTTCAGGGTCTGGAGCCACAAGAAACTAGAAATGTTACTTTGATGTTCTCCTGTGAGATTTGGGCTGGAGATACCAAAAGTCTCCATAACCTTCCTTAAAAAAAATGGGCATCAGAGACATCTGTGGGGGTGTCAACTCCCTCCGTCAGAGCTTCTCCACCTCCATCCTCTTGCAAGAGAACTGGCAAGAGCCCAAGACTCACATTTTCCATCAAAGAAATGACACCTGATGGAAGGGGGTACAGGCAACCAAGAAAGCTGCGTTTCTGACCATCTGGGCACTCCAGAAGTCCTCTACTGCTTTTCAGACTACCAGGGGTGTCCTCGGGGCTCCCTGAGGGTAGGAGAGCAGACTGTAAATGCTCACTGAGACTCTGGAGTTATGTGGTACCAACCAGATGCGCAGACAGGGTCCTGGCACACGAGGTGGACAGTACACAGAGAGAAGGGCGGCGTGGCTGAGAGGCAGCCCAACAGAGAGAGTGTCGATGGACAGTCACATGCTTGGGGTCTGGTGATGGAAGGCTGAGCGGGGAGAAGAGGATGAAGAGGCTTATGCTCCTTGAGTGGCGTGGCACGGAAGTCATGAAATTTGGTGCAAGGAAAGACACACTTAGCCACATGTGGGCCTCAGACCAGAGCTGGAAAGTGCAGAGGGTTTGCAGACACACTGGAACCATGGACCATCTCTCCTGCCTGCCCTTTTCCAGCCCCCATGTCCCTCCCAGCTGTTCCTTCCCTCCTCCCAGGGACTCAGCTGCCACCCCGCTTTAGTCACCCTTCACCACCTGCGTGCTGAAGGTCCCTGGGCCCCCAAATCCAGGTGCCAAGGGCCAGTAGAGGAGGGGAGAGGAACTAGGGTGTGGAGACTTCTTAATTGAAAGAGAACACAAACACTGTGGAGTGGGTGAGGGAGAGAGGGTGGGTGTCAAGGACAGAACAGTCCCAGGGAGCAGGGACTATAAGGTGTTCTATCCAATGAGGGCCGCCCCAATTCTTGCATCATACTCATGCCTGAGCTGGTCAGGGAGAAACAATCTGTGGGGTGAGAGCTGGACTTTGCAATGAGGGGCTTGCTTCCTCAGGGACTCATGGGTTGCCCTGGTGGCCCAGTACTCCTTACTGAGCCACTGGGGCCTTAGTGTTTGGTCACACTCCCTGCTGTGGGTGGAACACGCAGATGGAGGTAATGAGCACATGGAGAGAGGCGGCCACACCAAGGACCTTGGGGCAGTGACAACGCTAACTGTCTTCCACTGGAGTGAAAGCAGATAGAGGAGGGAAAGGAGAAAAGAGAAAGTAAATAAAACCCAAGGGAGGATATTCTCGTTTCCCACCAGCAGCAAGCAGCAGGCGAGGATTTACAGTGCTATGAAAGGCAGGCCTGCCCTTCCCAAAGATACCTTCTTCTTGGCCAGCAGCAAGTCCTGGTACGCATTCGACCGGAGGAAGCGGGCGTAGCTGTCACTCTTCATCAGCTTGTAGATGTGCTCCTGGGGAGGGAGGAGGTAGAGGACACAAGAAAGAATGGTCAGCTGATGCTAAAAGGAAATTACCACCCAACTGGCCACTGTTTTAGGAAAGAAGCAAACAGACTGAGGTATGCTGTGTGTACCTAGGAAAACCTGCACCATATTTTTGTTTTGTTCTGTCCCACTCAGAAACACCAAACAAAACATATCTTACCTCTTAGAATACAAGATATTTGAGGATCATGTCCTTGGTGCCAAGTTAGGGCACAGTATCATTTCATAACTAAACCACAGGCAGAGTGATAAGAAGGGACAAACTATTGATGTATCCAACCACTTGAGTGAATCTTAGGGAATTATGATGAGTGAAAAGGCCTCAGAAGGCTACGTACTGCATGATTCCGTTGATGTAACATTCTTCAAATGACAAGTTATAGAAACAGACAACAGGTTACTGGTTGCCAGAGGTTAGGGCTGGGAGAATAAGGAGAGGGGAGGGAGGTGTGGTTAAAAAGACAGTAAGAAGGATTCTTGTGGTGGCGGAAGAGCTCGTTATATGGACACATCTCACACATGTGATTGAGTTGTACATAACCCAATACACATACATTATATATGAGTACAAGTAAAATTCGGAAATCTGGTAGAGTCAGGGGATGTGGCAATGTCAGTACCGTGGCCATGACGTTGCACTACAGTCCTGCAGGTGTGACTGTTTGGGGAAACTGGACGCACGGTCTATCTCTGCAATCTTTCAAAGGCATGTGAATCGAGCAGCATCTCAGAATAAAAAGTTTAATAAAATAAAAACGCCTCGCGCAATGATACAATTGGGTCAGTTGTGTATGTCAAGGCCACCATCTCATCCTGGAAGGGTGCCCTGGGAACCAAAGCCTGGGGCACGTGGGCAGACAGGCCGGGCCTGAGGCTCCCATCCAGCAGGGCAGATGCTGTGGCATGTGGCCTTCCCTTCTCTTGGGCTCCTGGAGGTATTTACAGTCTGGCCTTGGCAACAAATTTCACCCTTGACTTCCAGCTAATCCCTACTGCCTCCTGGTCCTTTCTGAAAAAATCTGTCCTCATGAAGGGCAGAGAAAGCCTGGTTCATTAAAAGAGGGAGTCTGTCCACTGAAAAAAAGGGTTACTTATCAGCTGAAACGGAATACGGCTCAGCTGCATGGGGAAGCCTGGCTGTTCCAAGAGAGAACCTGTGAGGAGGGAGGTGGGATAGTGAGGCAGAGGCTGGCCTGGTCAGCAAGGGTCTTCCCTGATGTCCACACATAGTTCATCCTCTGAAGTTAAACAAGAGCCCCAGTGCCCGGGAGAATCAGTGAGGTCAGTGAGGAAACAGTGCTCAGCTGAGCACTGGACTGGTCATGAAAGGCCTCTTCCCTGGGGAGTCTTCCCGGGGGGGGGGGGGAAGGGAGGCACATTTTAGAGATACCTGGCCAGACTGCTGGCACATCCCAGGGAAGCTGGGGCATGACGAGGACTTACCAAGACCCTATCCCTCCCCACCACAGAAGAGAGTGAAAGCAGAAAGCAAGATACCCCTGAGCCACATGTGAATCCCTCTCCGCCCATCTCCAGTTGGACCATAAGCAGCCCTATTTTGGCATCGGCTTCATTCTTCCTCATATTTACAAAAGCAGGGTGCAACCCTACTAATGGGAATGAGCTCACTGCAAGGAGCCAAGCAAAATTAAATAGTGGCTTGGATCCGAGCCTACTTTGATCGTCCAGATGTGTTCTGATTTAATATGTTTAGTGAGAACATGCCTCACGAAGTGTTTTTCTGCAAATTTCAGACAAAAATCCAGCCCACTCTCATTTTAAGTTCCTCGAGGGAACAATATGTTTTTATCTCATATATGCACAGCATCCAGCCCGGGTCAAATGTTAGTGGAACTCGCGTTGTTTCTTGGTTCACTGAAGTGCTTCTTTGAGTCTAAGGTGCAGCAAGTTTGCAGGCTTGATATTTATTCTGGTTTATGACCAGATCGATTCCTGCCCTCTGTGGGGAAGGGGAGTGGGGGTCACACTCAGCTCCCGGGAAGTCCGGGGAGCCCTTCTCTCTTGGCCCATCCCTAATGGTCTCAGAGCCCAGACAGGGCCATCGTGGTCTTTGTTTGCATTTTTTGTCTCTTTAAATGGTCCTAATGTTTAAATCTTAGGCAAAAATGTTAACCCAGAGTAAAAATGACTCACTGTCTCCTTATTCTTGCCTCAGGCATCATTTCTGTCTGGCCAACACAGCCAGGTGGCTCCAGAATCATCTGGAGAGGCCTGCCAGTCATGCCTGGACCTTCTCTACACCCCTGTCCAAGGCCACAGGTCCCTGCTTCTTGTTCTGCCTCCTCAGAGGAATCTAAATCCACAGGCCTGTCTCACAAAATACCCTGTTATCCCAAGAGCAGTAAGGAAGCCTCTCCTAGGCCAACGTTGCCGGCCTTGGCAAAGAATTCTACCCCCAATCCAGTTAATTTCCCCAGCCTCATGATGGGCAGAAAAAGCCTAGTTCATTAAAAGAAAGAATATATCAATTAAAAAGAGCAGGATAAAGCAGATGCCTACACATTTAGTCACAAAAATATTCAGCAACTAGTTATTGAGCATCTAGTAGGCGCCAGGCACTGTGTCGGGCATTGATTACAACCTGAAAAGACAGACGAGGTCCCTGATGCTGCACAGCTTAGATTCTATTAGGCACGACCAACGCACGAAGGTCATTGACTCCTACTGTCTGAGTCATCTCAGACCCTAGCCACCATTTAATTGTGCTTGGCTCCTGGCAGTGGGTCCATTCCCATGATTAGGGTTGCACCCCGCTTGTGTAAATATGGGGCATATTTGAGCTAAAGGCTACAGAGAAGTAAAAGCAGAAAGTGTTGTGAATGGGTGTAAATGGATTGACCTACCCTGCCAGAGGTGGGGAATTCTTGTCTACCAACCAGAAGGGTCCTTATCAAGGTAGGGAGATCTTAGCGGGTGGAAATGGAAATTGAGGGTGGGAGAGTGCAGCCTTACTACTGCATAGTTTGGTCAACCAGAGCCAAAAGGAAAATCCAGGGGCAGGGAGGAGGGAGCAGCAGACAGTGGCGGTCTATTCCCCGGGAGGGGCAGTGGTCAGGGCCAGAGGAGCAGTTTGGGCGACTGCCATCCTCCCCAGGTCACATGGCCAACTGCAAAGCCAGGACCAAGATGGCTACGGTGTGGGAAGAAAGTAGAGAGTGAGAACATGACCTGTTGAAGGTGGGTTGCATGAGGTGATCACACTCTGCCAGCCCTGTTGCTTAGCCCTTGGCCACCACTAGGACAGTCTCAAATTACCCTGTGTGGGAACAACCAACCAAAGCAACAGTAGCAGATGCAGGGCATGGTCTGAGAAAAACAGAATCCAGAAACCTCTGCAGATCTCCTGTGCCCCCTGCAGGGCGGTGACTCCAGGCCCCCCTGGTCTGGGCCTTCCTTTCCCACAGTCTACAGACCCAAGACTCCTCCACCCTCCTCTCCTCCCCCATGCAAAGGAATGGAGCCTTTGATGTACCCAGTTATGGAACTCTGTTCCTTCCTCCTCGCCAGCTTTGTCTTGGAAACACAAAGACAGTAAACGGGGTGGGTGAATGGAGCACTGAGGTTTTTCTGGGAATGAGAATTAAGATACGACTCAGGGTCTTTGGCCAGTTCCCAAATGCAATGAGTTTATCACTGCCAGGGACAGCAAGTGTACAAAGCTCTTGGCAGTGACCTCTATTGATTTATAGGGGGTTCTGGTTTGTTTCCCCTGCTCTGCAGACAACCAGTCTTAAAGGGAAATGTATATCCAGAATCTGCAAAGAGCAAGAGAGCCACTGGTAAACCAGTTGGCCCCTCCAAGAGAATTCCTGAGGCGCTAGAGAAAAAGGAGTTTACGCTTTCCTTCTTTGTTTTTTTTTTAAACCTTGTTTTTTTCTTGTCTTTCTTTTTTCCTGATATCTTTCTCCCTCCCTCCTTCCCACTTCCTCCCTCTTTCACCCTCTCTCCTCCTGAAAAAGAGATGATTGTGTTGACTACGAAAAGCAGCTCTACCAGGGCCCACATCTGTGATCCAGACACAGGGGGAGGCACCCAGTCCAGGGTGTGGATGGTTCTCCACAGTTGAGAAATGGATGCTCCAAGGCTCTAAGTCATACTGACCTTCCTAACCACATTACTCAGGGTGGAGTCTCTTCTTCCCCCCTCATTTCCCTCCTTGGGCCTGGCCCTGGGACAGGGAGCTTGGATTGCCTGGGCCACTAAAGTGGAAGCAAGCACAGCAGAAATTGGTAGGGCCCCAGGACACATGTGGGAGCCGGAGAGAGCGAGCTGTCTCAGAACCACCACCTGGCACAAGCCGATGTTTTGCTGGGACAGTACTCATTTGGAAATCTCCTTTATTTTTAGATAAAACACAATGACCCTCACAAGCCTTGGGAAGGTAATCACACAAATGCCCGTGGCCTTGGGCCCTACTCTTGCTGGAGCAGCTGAACCGCTTAAGAGCGCCCTTATGCCTCCTCTTTGCTGCGGGTTCCTAAAGCACCTAGGATCTCATTCCCCAGGGGCAGAGACTTCTTAGCTGGGGCACTGCCTAGCTGCCAAGAGTGTCCTTTGAAATCACAAGAATCACTTGTGATTTCAAGTGTCCTTTTTTCTTTTTTGCAGGCGTGTGTGCCTCATCTCTGCCCTCCATCCTTGAGCTTCCTGGAACAACATGTGGACTTTGGGAACTTGCGGGTCCCAAGCAGTCCCTTTGCAGGAAGCTGAGGCTGTGGGGCAGACTGGGGTGTTGCTGTGTGGGGTAGTGGAAGGGTAGCTGGGCTGGTGGCCCAAAGCTTGGATTCAGGTCCTGACCCCACCCTTTTCCAGCCCTACACACAAATTCAATGAAGAAACACAAGTGTAAGCACAGCAGAAACTATATCCACATAAGGTAGTAACCATCACTGGCCTTCATGGTGTGGCTGTCCTTGCCACAGATGGCATGGGGATGAGGCCACAGC